GGCCACCCTTACCCTTGGTCATTCTGGAGATGCTGTCCCTGTTGCCCATCCCTGTCACTGCAGCCATCTGGCTCTGACCCATTCAGTTTGTGTCATTGGGAGCTGTACTCCACCCACACAGTGTCCACCCCATGTTTGTCCCTATGCCATGGAATCTACACAAATGCTGCTGCTGTTCTCTTATTTTCTGGGCTTCAAGAATTGGTGGCCCTGAAGCTCCCAAGGGTCCCAAGACTCCTGTTGGGTATATACCAGGTCCGGATGGAGCCCTGGGTAGCCTTAATCCCCAGCTGGCTCTAGGAGACCTGTGGAAACAGAGGCTGATCTGAGATGCTATGGTAGTGATTGGGTCACTTTTGGGTTGGATTAGCAGCTCTGGGGTCACTTCAGTGAATCTGCCTTGTTGATTTTAAGGGCATCTCCACACCATAGAGTGTTTGGAGTGGTGAGGTCCAAGCCTAGCCCAGGGAATACTGGGGGTGGAGGAGACACAGGAGATGTGTTCAGGATGTCCTGAGCCTGACCTGAAGTTACAGAGGGGGTGTGATATTGTGAAATATATATTTGGTCTTCCTTCCCCTTTTCCTGACACCTAATTCCTAAAGCCCTTGGAATCTCTGGAGTGGTAAGAGTTGTTTGTATGTTGATGAGGTGACTGGTGGCTGGGGACTCCTAGGTTGCCTTAGGATGGTGCTGGTTGCCAGGGAAACCACATGGCTAGAGGGCTGGAACTTTCAGTCCCCCGCCCTCCTACCTCCTGGGAGCAGTGAGGGGCTGAAGGGTGAGTTGATAAACCAATGGCCAGTAATTTAATCAATCATGCCTATGTGATGAAGCTTTCATTAAAAACTCGAAAGGACTGACTTCTGGGAGCATCCAGCTAGCTGAACATGTGGAGGTTCCTGGAGGGTGGCACACTGGAGAGGGCACGGAAGCTACATCCCTTCTCATATGTAAAAATAAGTAAATGTTTTCCTGAGTTCTGTGAGCCACTCTGGCAAATTAGTTGAACCCAAGGAGGGGGTTTTAGGAATCTCTGATTTATAGCTGGTTCGTTAGAAGCACAGGTGACAACCTGGACTTGTGACTGGCCTCTGTAGTGGGGGGCAGTCTTGTGGGACTGAGCCCTGAGCCTGTGGGATCTGACACTATCTCCAGTTAGGTAATGTCGGAATCTGAGTTAAAGGATACCCAGCGAGTGTCCACTGGAGAATGCTGCAGTCTGATTGGTTGATACATGGGGAAGTGCCCCATACATCTGGGCTCCCAGAAGTGTTCTGTGTTGTGAGAGTATAGTAGGAGAAACTGAGTTTGATTTTTTTCTTATATCTCTCGGACAGAAGGTTTGTTTGATTGACTACCTACTAAGGTGGAATTTTTATTTCTCGTGCTCTTCCCATTTCCTGGAGCCCTGTGGTAGTCTCCCTACTCCCTGTGGGCTCTTTTCTCATGAGCTTGCCATAGCTTATGCAGAGAACAAAGCATAATTTTTTCCCAAGCATTGTGCAGTATTAACTGGTGGTTGTAATTTTTTATAGCCATTTATCAAGTACCTGGTATGTGCCAGACTTTATAACATTAGCTGCTATAACAAAACCCTCAAAACCTCAGTGCCTTCATACAACAAAGGTTTATTTCTTACTCAAGTTAAGCCCAACGTTGGTTGCATGTGGGGAAAGGAGTGGGGGCTCTGCTCCACACAATCTCAGGGACATAGTTTCCTTCCATCTAGTGATTCCATGTTCCTTGGAATTATCCACCCAATCCATTGCATCCAGCCAGGAATCCAGGGAAGAGAGAGCTGTAGGAATGCATAAGCAGTTTTACCATCCACGTCTAGGCAGGTGTCCGTCCCTTCTGTGCTCAGACACACAGCTTACCTACCTGGAAGGGGGCTGAAGAGAATGTGCTGTCCCTGTGCCTAGGAAGAGGCGGGAGAAGCCAGATGTGGGGATGAGCAAGTGTAGCCTCTGCCACAGACTTTGATGGTTTGCCTACTCAGCAGGTGTCTGTTAGACACCCTGGTCTATGGTTAGGCTTGAGCCAGGCACCCAGGAAGCCGTAGAAGAAGCAAGAAGTTTGAGTCTGGTGCTCAGAAGGCACGTGGTGCCCAGATGGTCGTTCCACAGGCACATAGGGAAGTACATTATCATGAGGTATATATAGACCGGGTTGGTCATGCCAGGGGAAGGCTCCGTGCAGGAAGGTGGTATTTGTCTCAGGTTGTTACTAATAGTAATTTTCAGTGCCAGTGAGTGGTGTGACACCTCATTGATCTATGATTTTAGCTGTCCCAGATTTGGGGTTTTTGAGAGAAAAGTCTTCCTCTTTCTGCCTCCTAAAGGAGCCTCTTTCTCAGGGGCTGCTGACTCACGCCCTGTCTCACTCAAGCTTTTCATTTTCCTTTCACTCTGGCGTTTGGAGAACAGAGGCACAGTGAAGGTTTGCTGCGCACAGGGACAGCAGTGGTGGGGAGGGGTTCCGGGAGGGGCCCCCAGTTGTACTTGGGCTTTTTGCTTTGTGTCCGTTATGACAGTTCATTCTTCACCTCCATGTGACCTTGGAAAAATCATCCTGTCTGTGCTTCCGTGACCTTGGCTGTGCAACTCCTTTTAAAAATGATTCTCAGAAGAACCCCAGTGAGTAAGACAGACAAAAGTGGAGCTCTTGTGGTTGATAATCTTTCCCCCTCACCTCCAGCTCAGTGGCCCCCGAGAGATTACTGAGGCAGAGGGGCCCCCAGGACTCCAGGCCTGAGAGTCCTTAGTTCTGTAGGGGCGTAGGGCAGGCAGACCTTTCCAAGACTGCTTCTGAGGGCCCTTGCCACCTCGTCAGTCCCACTGCCTGTGCGAGTCGTAACACCCCTCCCATCTCACCCATGCTCCCTCCACCCTCTCCCCTGCCCCACGAGGGACATTAGTGGAATGGAAGCTCAGGTTTGCTGTCGATTTGATGACTCGCATCCTCTTGTCAGAAGGGGTCACATGACCCCACAGAGTGAGGAAATGAAGCAGTTGGTTTCATGAGTTACTGCTTCTTTCTGTCTTCTTGACCCTGAGAAAAAATTCCAGTCCTCTAGACAGCTCCCACACACTTCTCTGTCCTCTTTGATTTAGGTGCAGTTTTTCTTCCTAATAAGCTCTTGTCTTCAAATGGAGATGGGAAGAAAAATGGGACCTTGGGAATATAGGAATCCTTGGTGAATTACTTCAAATTAATGAGAGTAAGAAGGGAAATCAAATTCAGTTGTGCAAATTAGCTTCGTGTTCTGGGTCTTGATGACTTAAATTGCATATTCTAATTAAATAGCCCCAAATAACTATGAATTGGCTTCTAAGGTCTTTTTGACCTTAAAGTTTCTCTGACCCGTGAACTCTCTGAAGTAGAAAATTAGTTTGTAGATGTTTCCCTTTAAGCATTTCTATGTCCAGAAACCTCACGGTGTCTGTAATACAAACCACCCTCCCAAAGGAAGGGCAGGCAGGTGGCAAGGACCGGCGAGGCCGGCAAGGACCCTGAAGGGGGAGGGGGAAGGGGTCAGAGGGGTGGTTTGGGAGCCCCCCTAGGGCTGGCAAGATGTTGGGGTTCAGATGTGGCCCTTTGTTGGGTAGGTGTCTCCACTGTCCCAGGTGAAGGCACAATGACTGGCACCTTCACCAGCAAGCTGAGCACGGCAGCAAGGCAGGCAGCAGGATGCTGAAGTAACGCTACAATAAGCCAATAAGCATCTTTGCTCAGGAGTCTTTTCCATGTTCTGGGTTATTAGGGAGAATTTTGTTATTGTTTATAAATTTTGATAATTAATGCCAAGTTGCTTTCTGAATGCTTGTACTCAGCATGAGTACTCACTTGATCACTCTAAAATGTGATCAACAATATAGGAGAGCCCTATACAGTTTCCCCTAGGTCCTCCAGCAATGCCTATTCTCATTAGAAGAACAAACAAACCTCTTCGAGGACTAATTTAGGTGAAGATAAGTATATTTAGCATTGCTCTAATTATTACTAATGAATTTGGTCATTTTTCCAAAATGTTTACCATATGTATTCATCTTTTATGAATTCATATCTTTTGCCACTTGCATTTTGGTGAGTTGTTTTGTTAATTTGTACAAACATTACTGTAAAATACAGATGTTGGTACTACAAGTACTTTCCCAGTTTTACCATTTGCATCGCATGTTGTTTGACTTGGACAACTTTTGACAACGGCAAACCATCAGATCTTCCCCTGGGTGATTTTTATTGTGGCTCCCCAGGCAGGGCACTGCCCTCTGCTGAGGTGCCCAGGCTGAGGATCCCAAGGTGCCCCTAGTGGCAGGGATGGGAGCACAGCCTGCAAGAGAAACTGAGTCTGCCTGTGGCCAAGTGCACTGCTCTTCCTGTCCAATTCCCAGACCCCGGCACATTGAGGTGGCTCGTGAGTTGGGCCCTGAGGCCTGCCCCGACAGCCCCACAACAGTGCTGGGACTGAGTGGGGCCTGGGTGTTCAGCTCTACAGGAGGGCACCTGAGGGCCAGGCAGCAGCAGCAGGAGTGTGAAAGCCCAGTGGCATTTGCAGAACCCTTTTCTGTTCTTGCACATTTGGTTTTTATTGCAGCCCGGTAAGATGGGTGCAGCTAGCCTTATCTTAGACGGTAAAGATCAGAACCTCAGAGGGTCCTGCAGCTTCTCCTGGGGCCTGTAGTGTGTAAGTGGGGAAAGTAGGACTCAGATTCCTATCTCCTCATTTTCCCTTAACCACACCCAGCTGTCTGTTTGCCTCTTTGAGGCAGGCCCAGACTCCCCCTACAGACCACCCCAGCAGGGGAGAGGGATGTGCACTTTCTCATTCTCGTGGCTTTGAGCAAAACTTGTGTTTTTGAGCCAAAGGGTTGGATTGGAGTATGGAGCTCAGACAAACATGGAGAAGCTCTCGGCTTCCCCACGTTTCTAGGCATTGTTTTCTCAGGAACTTTATGCTTGAACAGCTTGTTAAGTTTATACTTTTCTATTTTCAGATGATGGATTTGGATGTGCTTTTATGAAGAAATTCCACATGGTCCAAGAACAAAAATGTCCGGTAAGTTGCTTGGTGAATTAACCCAAGGGCAGGAGCCCCAGGTCCTTCAGGTGCAGAGGTGGGGACAACCTTTGAGAAGACAGGGATGTCTCTGGATACATGGAGGCCTTTGAGGGGTGTTTTAAACCATACCTATTGCTTAGTCTAATTATCTTTACTTCTAAAGGTTGGTTCCTTCTAGAGACAGCAGGAATTGTAGCACATAGAGTTGCAAAAACCTGAAACTTGCTTTTTGCCGCTTAACCTACTTCCGAGAGCAGAGTGCGAGCTCTGAGCCGTGCCTTGCAGTATCTGTCTGACTCAGCCTGCAGTAGTATTTTGCCCAGAGTCCTCCTCATCCACTGCACCGCGCTGTCCACTTCAGTTAGGCCTGGATTATCACTTACTTGCTTTCTGCAAAAGAAAGCCCGAGACCGAAACATGTGAAGTTTGTGTAGCTCTGGGAAGAAAGCAAGCAGGTTAAAGATGCAAGCTCTGTCTCAACAGTGTTCCACCATGCGGGTGTAGCCCATGGGCAGCAGACTCCAGCAGCTCTTACCCTTCTCACAGAGATTGTGGTGAATTGATTTAAAATTTTAAAGGTTCTATGAGAGTCATCAGCAGAAGAGCATAATAAAGTGAGCAAGAAAATCTCAAAAGCTGTATGTTGTGATTATATACACACTGTCATTTACTGTGGCATATCTTTGTTGAAGAGGACATGATTTCCTTATGGGACCCCATGGGCATACCATGTTGGGAAGTAGGGAGGACATGGGGACCACTAGGGGCTGAGAGCAGCAGACACTCCACCCCAATTCCTCATCTGCCAGAGGAACCTGACCTTGCCCATGTCAGGTTACGTTCTCTCTCCATGAGAGCACAGTGGTTCATCCCCATGGTTTCTTAACAGTGTTTGTTCCTATTTCTAAGGGCTACTGCCACCTTAGGGGACTAGGGCTTGGTAACAGCGCTTCCCCGGGAATCAGGCGTGGTCTGACCCAGGAACAAGAAGCACATCATCACCAATGACATCATGACAGCAAGAGAGCACAGCCCTCGCCATGGTGCCAGGGCCCGTGCGATGCAGCGGGCTTCCACCATCGATGTGGCAGCCGACATGCTGGGCCTCTCTCTGGCAGGTGAGCCTCAGAGCCTGCACCAGGCTCCTGGTATGAGCTTGCAGCATGTGGGCCCCACACTGTAGCAGCATCCAGCAGACAAGCAGGATGAGCCCCCATTACTGCCCCAGGCTGTGGGGTATCCTGGTGTGGCACCCCTGTGGTTGAACCAGGAAATAGGGAGGTGGAAGTCAGCCCTCTTCTTGGAGACTGCTCTGCTAGAACCTGAGTGCCGTCAGTTTTCCAGTTTAGGTGGGCGCCTCCAGGGCTCATTTGCCAGTAGTGATGTGGGAATCCACAGTGCCTGTTTGGCAAGTGCCCAGGCCGTGGTAAAAGCCCTCCCTGTTGTGGGCATGTAGACCTGAAGAGGAGAGGAGAGTTTGATTGTGGAGTCTGAGACTTCTTAGGAATCTCAAAAGCAAAATATTTAGAAAATAAGAAATCACCTCACATAATTTTTTGGGAGGGGGGAAAAGTAGAGTGTTGGTTTTTTGGCAAAATCTAAAAACAGGGAAAAGTTTATTAAGGGTGATTTTGCTGACATTTTTTTCTATTCAGGAAATATACAAGATCCAGATGAGCCCATTTTGGAATTCAGCTTAGGTAGGTATCTTTTTGTTTTGTTTTGTTTTTTTGTTTTAAAAAAATATGTTGCTTAAAAACAAAACATTACCACCAGCACAGGTTTGTCTCAAAGAACTTGCTGCTGCTGCCACGTTTCTGAGATGATAGGGAGCCCTAACGCACGTGTGAACTTCCTGTGGGTGGGGAGGGACCTCAGAGGCTGTGTGCCCATAGGGCTCAAGTCTCCTCAGCATGGGGCATTGTCCTTGGGAGTGTGCTCTTCACAAGTGGCCTGGGACAGGGAGATGAGGCCACCCAGAGCCTCTGGCACAGGCTGTCCCCCCTTCTCCTCCCCTCCACCCACCCCTCTAGGAGAGAAAACTGGGCTTAGGGCTCAGCTTTGTCACCCTTGGCTGCAGGCCTTGTGTGGTTGAGTTTAGATCTCTAGCCCTCAGTTTCCCGCTCTGTAAAGGGTGGTGATGACACCTGCATCCTCTCCTTCTCAGCAAGGACCAGTTGAGAATATACTAAAAAATGGATTAGAATTGCCAAGGCCAGAGTCAGGGAAGTGTGGCATTACAGTGGCTTAGCCAGGAGGCCCAAGATGCTTCTCCTCAGAGCCCGATGCTACCCGGTGCTCCTCTGCCCTTCCTCCCCCTTGGTGGTGGTCAGCATTGGTCAGTGGCCTGGCAACAATGTCTAGGAGGTGGTATGACATAGAAGAGGCACCTCCTGCAGAGTCAGATGACTTGGATTCTAATCCTGATGGTACCAAGCTACCTGCATGCCTCAAGCCTGCTGTTTGACTTTGCTGGACCAGTTTCCTCTTGTGCTATATGGGGGTGTTACTGCTTGTTTGAGACACAAAGAAGATCAAAGCAGTTAAACCCCACTCACCTGCAAAAGAGACCTGGGCAAATTGCAAAATCCATAAAAGTGTAAGTATGTTGTTAGCAAATTAATACTAAATTCTGAAAATGTCCCCATTTCCGATTAAATGCTCCTAAACAAGTTCAGAGGGTTTCCCCAACCTTGACTTGGTGGCTGGTTCTGCAGTGGGGATTGAGTACAGGGCTGTGTACCTGGAATGGGAGGTTTGGGGAGAAGCTGCTTTTAACTCTGCTGGGATTCCCACATCTGCCACCTCACCTTCGAAGAACTTTATTGCTTTTTACAAATTACGGAACTGACTCTCCAAGGGCTTCAGTTTCATAACAGGAGAGTAAACATATTTCCAAATATTTCCTTATTTTAAATCATTCCAAACATCAGGACAAATAAGAAACAAAAACAAACTGGAGAGTGGGACATTTTTGAAACCCCCAGATGTCACCTGGGAGGAGGGAGCAGATGAGCAGATGAAGGAATAATAAGTAGGAGAGAGGAGCATGGTCACACCTGCATGTGAGAATAGCGGAGGCCGGAGCAGAGGGTTTGTCCCAAAGGCACTGGGATGCTCAGGAGACAAAAGCAGAGGCTTATTGGAGAGTTTGTGTGAGGAAGAGTTTGGGCTCAGGTGCTCACCACACCCCTCAGTCCTGCAGGGACCACAGGTTTCTTCTCTCAAGAGGCTTCGGAAGCAGAGTGGCTCTGGGTTGGGTACACCAGCATGGAGGGTGGGTGTGAGGGGCCAGACAGAAACAGGGATTAAGTGGATGTCTCTGTTGACTAAGAAGTTCCCCCAACCTTCTTCACATCCTAATTCTGCCAGGCTTATGCCTCTGGGAGGGAGGCTCTTTCTCAGGAGAAAGTAAACCACTCAAAGAGACAAGCCTTCTGGAGCCCAACCAGAAGCAGGCCTGCCAACCACCTAGTCACTGTTGTGGAGCCCACCTAGCCCACCTGTGAACACTCGACATCAAATAGCCTTCTAACACCTCATTCTCAAAAACAAGTGGACACGTGTCCACACACAGATGGGTACACAGGTGTTCCTTGCAGCTTTATTCATAATAGCCAACACTGGAAACAACCCAAATGTTCAGAATCAGCAGGAAGATACACGAACTGTGGTGCGTGCATACAAAACATGGGAATGTCATTCAGCAAGGGGAAGGAAGGAACGACTGCTACACATAACCACATGGGTGAATCTCGAAAGCATTAGTAAAATGAGAGAGGCTACACACAAAAGGCTACATATTGTATGATTCCATTTATATGAAACTCAGGACAATTAATCAATAGTGACAGAAAACCGATCAGCGCTTATCTGGGACTGGAGGTGAGAGTTGACGGGAAAGGGGGCAGGGAAATCTTTGGGGTGATGAAAATGTTCTGTATCTTGACTGTGGTAGTGGTTATATGGATATATATACTTATCAAAACTCACTGAACTGTACACTTATAATGGGTACATCCTATATATAAAACCCCCAAATTGACTTAAAAATAAGATGAAAAGAATAATCAAAGATCACCACACCTTTGTGGAATGCCTACAACATGAAAGGAAAAAACAGATAGAAAAAATAGAACTTGGAAAAAACAGAGACATTGCAGAAAATGTTAAAGAAATTATAATTTACATGCTCCAGAAAAGACAGTGTGTCCATAAAATAAGGATAGGATACTACAAAGAATAAAAGGGCTGGGTGCAATGGCTCACACCTGTAATCCTAGTAATTTGGGAGGCTGAGGTGGGAGAATTACTTAAGCCTAGGAGTTCGAGACCAGCCTGGGCAACATAGTGAGACCCCTGTCTCTACAAAAAAAGTAAAATAAAAACAAGCCAGGCATGGTGGTGCACAACTGTAGTTACTTGGGAGGCTGAGACAGGAAAATCACTTGAGGAATTTGAAGTTACAGTGAACTGTGATTGTGTCACTGCACTCCAGCCTAGGCAATAGAGTGAGACCGTCTCTAAAAATAAAAATAAAAAATAATAAAAAAAAGAACAATCGAGGAAAAAGGACAATCTTAGAAATTTAAAATGTGATAGACAAAATCTTTTAAATATGAAAAAGTTTAGAGGATATT